ATTGCCTTTGAGGACAACAAAAGACTTATAATATGCACAACGCCGCCTTTGGGTGACAATAAGGAATATGCAATGAATGTGACAACTTGTCAATGAGCATGCATAAGGAAGTTGTAATGAATAGAAACCGCTTGCACCTAAAATTAATCAACCTGCAAATGAATGCACTAGTCCACTAAGCAACGACAGTGGATAGGTTGTGAGTGTGATGTGTTCTCTACAAACGCAGATAGGAGAATTGAAATGCATAGAACACACTGTCTGAAGGTAAAGGCAATGAATTTGTAATGAATATGAGCACCTACATGCAATTGTAGGAAGATCGTTATGTGCCTAGTAGTTTGCCTATGAGCTGGTAGGCTTGTGATAGAGAACCTTAGTTTGAAATTCTCATATTAGCCTCCTCCACAAGCAATGCTAGAGGATTTTACATTGAGCGCAGTTCACCTACATACAGCAGCCAGTGGCTTTTGAATATTTACTGCTTGTCTACTAGCAATGTTAACAAAGCTTGTATTGTATGATGCTCCATCTACATAAGGCAACAAGTGGCCCGTAGTACAGCGCTATAATTCACCTGCAAGCAAAAATAGAGAATTTGCAGTGAAAACTACGGATCACTGGTAAATAGAAGCAGAAAATTCATAGTGCCAGGTTATCACGTTGAATGGATTAGCTTGCTTATAAATGAAATGTGAAGGACTCATAATGCATCGTACAGCTCACTTGCAGGTAGAAGTATGCTCCTACAAGTTAGGCTGAAGAAAATGGTAACTTGCTGAAGATGAAATGAATTAAATCACGTCACGAGATCCGCAATACTCATACAAGTGGAAAGAAGATGTTTGCAAATTCTCAAATGGAATCTTGTGCACACTCAAATGACAATCACTTGCACAATTGATTAATTTTAAAATTTTCAAAATGTCCTTCCTCATGCATCATAATACAATTTAATAAATTTAAATGCATTGTCTCAAGAAACTTGCCATTGCTTTGAGAAGAATGCAACAGTCTTGACTCTCGAGCGTATGACAACTTTGAGAGATGTGTTGTCATCTCAAGAAGTGCATCATTATCTTGGAAAATGCATAATATTTTGACAATGTGCATTGAAGTACATATAAATCATTCATACATGCATATGCTTCATGTAAATGCTTTAGAAAGCTTACAAGTGTACATCAGAAATGCATCATGGGGGCATGTTATCCAAAAATGCATCATGCATTAAGTTACATATAGGTATATTATACATATATCTAACATTCAAACACACTTTGAATATATGCTCTGCAACATGTAAAATGCATTATGTAAACGCACCATCCAACATGCAAAAATGCACAGTGTCATGGTAGTACATTTTGCCGACATCCAAATACATTATACGACATGTTAATGCATTAAGCCACTACGCAACATACGAAAATGTCATGCACTTATGTTAAATAGTACGCAAATGCATATGTTAATACACACGTATATGTGCAAACATACAAATACATATGCAGGTATGTCAACATGCAAATGAATACGTGAGTGCATGACATTTTGAATGTTGACATACACATCCATTGCATGTTGAAATATATACAAACATATAAATGCATACAACCGCCGTATAAATACATTCTGCAAAACGCACTTAAAGTACTTACCCACACGGGCCCGAATGAGTATAATGTATGTATATACGTGGCATCTGAGGTATGCACGGGTCAAAAAATTAACTTAAGTTCTAGTCCGATCATTCTCTTTGAATGAACGGAAGTTTACACGGCTTAAACCACTGAACAAATATATGGTCGTTGTGCCAACAAGAGTATTTGATTTTATACATTCATATTAGGCCTTCAAGGTCTTTTTCAAAGAAAATTCACATATTAAAATGAACATCCCATGTTTTAATATCTACACATCAACTCCATAAAATAGAAGATCGACTCGATCTTCTGTTTTCAAGCAAACAGAGTTATCAAGGTTGTATTGATGAAATGATCATACCCATAAATCCCTGATGATGGCCATGCTGAATGCAAATCTGACCCTGATGGGTTTACATAAATTTCAAAGAAATGCTCCCAAATCTCAAAGTTAATTGTCTAGGGGTCAAGTATAAATAAAAATTTTAAAATCTATTACTTTTCAAATATCCAAAAATGCTTAATTGAAATAAAACACCTAAATACTTATAGCAAAAATTAATCTACCATCTGCAATAGTTTGTCGAGGTGGATAAATTTGAAAATATCACTTCAGCTTACAAAGAGCGAATGTCTAATAAAAAATATCACTATGATTCATTCTCAAACTATCTCCTATTAGTAAGGACATGACAGGTGTCCTTTAATCGGTGGGCTGCCAAATGACACCACATGTAAATGGTTATGATCGGGGCTCTTTGACCATGCCACTAAATGGTACCATTGAATTATAGTCATGGCGAGGGCTCATATGTTTCTCAATAGCTCTAAATTCTTGAGTGATGAATCGATAGTGTTTTTTTGTCATCCCCCCATCCACTTTAAGTGTGCGGTGATAAATTTCAATTTTAAATATCTAAGTCCGTTGCTACTATATGCTGGATATTACGTAATTGTTGAACGACTAGCCTTAATTGAAAGTTCTCTCTCATCATTGGAAAAGGTAATTAACTATAGGGGCTTTGGCCTACATGAAACTTGAACTCAGATCATAAAATCCTTGCAAAAGGAGAGCAAAATCTCTGGGAGTGTCTTATCTAAAACCTAATATTTCTTTTGAAAATTAACCTAGTACCTAAACTCATTAAAACTCTCACCGACAAACAAAAAGAAAGGGATTGTGGAGAGGCCAGGGCATAAATTTTCGGAACCCACAATTGTAGACATGATACCAGGATAAGAGATTTTGAATGTGAGTGAATGGTCGCAAATTATTGCTTCCTTTGAATATCAACACTTGAGGAGATTTGACCTTTAGAGGAACTTCATGTGGAAACATCCCTTACATGTGGGGAAGGAATTGGATTTTATGGAGTGTAATGCCCTTTCCCCAATCGAGAGAGAGATAGAGAGAAGGTTGAACAAAAACTGAATCAGATCATATTGGAAATTGAAAGTCAATTTGACTACATTAATCAATATAGTTAATTGGTGATGAATGTCCTTTAATTGTGTATAAAATTTATCTTGGGTAAAAAACGTTCAGCCATTGAAGTGCACCCTAAAATGTTGCCTAAACCATTATGTTCCTTCTTGAGTTGGTGTTTCATAAGAGAACCAATATTATGATGGATTTTGTATGTTATGACTTCGAAAGGATTAGGTGATGAGTTCTCACTGATGGCACCAAAGGATGTGAATTTTGAAATCTCATCTACCCTTTGTCGAGAGGAGAGACAAGTCCTCTGAAAAATGAAGAGATAGATAGATTGAAATCCAACTAAGCTTGGGTTACTTTAACCGTAGGTGGGAGCGAGGTAGTCACAAGTATGATGAACATAAGAGACTTATAGTAGTTTGGTCATATGACCTATGTCCACTATAGCAAGAGTTGAGAGCAACTTTCATTATAGTAGAGAAATTGAGTACATGACATGATCACAATTTAATATGATTATTATGGAGAGACAAGTAAAGGAATTAGGATTTAGCCATACCCCTAAGAGGTACGTGAGGTACAATGAGTGATTCTGAAGAGAAATATTGTAAGGAAATATGAGGATGAGCTGGTGCCCTGGGAGAGATGAATCTCACAGAGAAGTGCCTAGAAGATCCTTAGGACAAACTTGTATTTTTAGGTATGGTGAAGTGATGCTTTACCTCTTAATGCAAGCCATGTCACTATGGTTGTTTGGGTGAATCAATGTGAGGAATATGTTGGAGACCAACATTTCTTGTGATGATTAAATGAGTGAATTGATCTAAAAATTATGGAGCATTGAAAAGTAACTCAAATATTGGATGGAGTTAGACTAATATTTTCATAACTCACAAGAAAAAGTAAGAAGGATAGGTTCAGAAAGATTAGATTAGACGTAGGGTAGGTGTGTGATGGATCGGTGACTGAGCCGGTGGGCCCGACTAGGGTGGGTGGCGGCCAAGAAGGTAGAAGGGCTCAAAGGGGATTAATTACTTACCATAGAAGACCAAAATTGGGAGGGAATTAGGGAGGTTTATTTAGGAAAAGTGGGCTGATTTGATTGGGAGGGAATTAGAAAGATTTTTATGTTGCTAATTAATTAGGAATGTTTTCTATATTATGTTTATGTTAATTAGGAAGTTCTTAATTATTTAGAAAGGTTTCATTAATTATGTTCATACTGAATAGGAATGTTCTATTTGTGTTATGGTATTCTAGTGCTATTTACAGGGAAGTTTGTTTAGGGTTTAGGGTATGCTATTGCATAGTTTATTTTTCTAGTATTTTTTGTCAGTTCCTAGCGGCGTCTAGGATTTTTGGGAGAGCTGATTTATCTCTTGATTAGTAGATCAATTATATCTTACTTTATTATTTAAAAAAAATAATCAGAAGATCATTCCTATATGTGTTCCTACATTTTTCTTCTCGTTTGCTGATTTTGCATGCACTTCTTATCAGAGTGATCTCCATTATTTGAAAATAAGATAGTTGAAAATATATTTGGGTGATTTGAACAGTTATGAAAAAGGAAGAAGCACAAATTAGATTGGTAGATAAAATTAGCTTCTGTGGATTGGGATGAAAATGGGGTAGATCTTAGGTAAGATGGATAAAAGTTGTTCAAAATGATTTGCAAGGAGTAGGTTTAACACCTAAAGTAACACTGAATTAGACTAATTGGAAAATGTGAATTTTGGGCTAAGAATAATGTTGATGATGAAGTACATCAGGTGCTTCAACCATTTTTTTCTTATTTTCTTTTTAATTTTTCTTCGGTGGTAATGAAAACCATGATCCATTAAAGAAGTTCAAATAATGGCATCTGGCAGGAGCCATTCCATTGTATGTAATTGTGAAGTTCTCTCATTTTGCAGAGAGATGAAACTGGAATTGGTGGCTCATGGAATGACTTTGTTCATTATCTTTTGGCTTCTTTGTCCACCGGTGATGTAAAGCTTATCCTTGATGGTCCAGAAAATTTTCGAACTGGCAGTAGTGAGTATATTCTTGGCATTTTCTATTTACCAATCTACTTTAGACATTCTAGTCATTTCTAGGGAATTATTATAATGAAGCTTAACATGTCAATAAAGCTAATGCATTGGGTTTAGGATGCATTGAAATAACTTTTCAAACAAGTATTTGTTTAATAAATTTAAGATTTTTTGAATTGCATCTCCCGAGAGTGATATATAAACTAATTACAACTAGTTGAGTTTTGATTTGCTGCAGCTGCCGTGTCAAAATACTTTACTAAAACAAATACATAAATATGGCTATTTACTGCCTTTTTCTGCAATTTTAACAAACACCTTTTCACGTGATCTTAACAAACAAATGTTATACCTCATTACATGTTGAACAAACATGCGGCTTATACTCCTTAGATAAACCATTTTTGTTGAAGATGAGTTTCAGTTGTTGAGTTTAATGTGGTCTGACTTAAAGCTTGATCTCCAACTTTGAATGGGTGTTATGGTTAACTTGGAACCAATATAACGTTGAAGCATGTTGACTCTGGGATTTTTTTTTGAGTTGGGAATAGTTATACATTTATTTCTGCAGTTTCTAAATCTTTGGTTATGAAGGCTTAGGATGGATGGTAATTTTAAGTTGGAAAATGTCTTTTGTTATGTGTTATTCATTAGGAAACCTCTCTATTATAGGAATAAGTGTAATATTCTAAGGAACATTTAAATATGCATACGTCACTCATCAAATATACAAAACTTTCTTGTTTTCTACGCTAGCACTGCTTCAAGTTGGATATATATATATATGTCAGCTAGCTCCAAACTGTTACATTTTCGGGAGAAAGATGTCTGCTCCAAAGCTTTTGTAAAAATACTAGTAAAAATGTTCGTCCCCTATGCACACGTAGTTAATGCTTAATATTGCAGGTTGTAGTTTTTAATTTGAATGTAATGTGATTATTCAGAATAATTTATCTTATTGATATATTTAGAAGGGAACTGTATCTTAAAATGTCCTTCTTGTAATGTGATTTTTCTATGATCATATATTAAAAATTAAATACTTACAGTATTTGTTTACTGATTATTAAATGTTCCCTTTAATGCTCTCAATATCAAAAATATGAATCAACAATGTTAAAAGTTAAAAAAAAAACTTATCCCTTAACAACTATTTTTCTACTTTCAATACACTGAAAGAGCCACTACAACTTTCAAATGTATTTTAACAAAATTTATTATAAATGTTTCAAACAATTAGCTCTCTCTTGAAGCGTTGCGCCTATAGTATATGTTATCTTTCACTCATTTAAATCAGTCATATGATATTTTTGTACGTTTATAATAATAGGGGTAAGTTATAACACAACTCAATGAGCACATCATGCTTTTAGATATAGAGGAGAAAGCAATGTCTTCTGTGGAAGACGATCCTCTTTTCTAGTTATACTCTGACCATAACATATTTTTGGCCTGGCCATTGGTCTTCTGCATGCAGATACAAGACCACGTTTTTGTTTATTTACCTTAATTTTCTTCAAAAGAAGTGCTTTTTTTTTTAAAGCTTTTTGTTATTTGTTTTCTCAATTTCAGGTGTTTCCCATGCGAAGTTAATAACTCACAAGTCAAAAGGACTACCTCGCATTTCTCTTCTTCTCAATGGACTAGTGAATTTACCAGCTAAGGATGCTACTGCGAATATCTCTTCGGCACTGTTCAACGCATACAAAAGCAAACATTTTGACGTCTTGAAAGGTTGCATTATCTTCAACAAAGGAGAAACCATAATATCATCTGCTTTACTTCTTTCTACGTGGCATGTGTATTTCTTGAGTTTACTAAACTAACAACTTACCTCCAATAATTAATTAGCTTTACATATTAGATTTTTTAGGGCTATGGAAACATTGTTTTTTTTCTCGGAAAATTCTAGGTTTTACTGATTATATGAACCACACTGCATTCTTTATTGATATTTCTAGGAATACATAGATTTTACTGAATCTATGGACAACACTGCATTCTTTTTCTTCTTTTGTTTTATTTTTATAGTTAAAGCTCTGTCTCAATGCTTCAACTTTTTATAGTTGGTAATCTACGCAGATCACATACTCCCTGTTTCTTTGTTACATAATGCTACTTTTGTAGTTACTCCTTGTTTTCATTGTATATTTTCATCAAAATTCAATTTTTACTATGATGAGGCATACATTGTTTTCTTTTCTTCTTTTTTCAAAACTAACTTATGGATCATATTGAATTGGTGTTTTCTTTTCTGATCACACAGTTTAATGCTCTATATTCAGTAAAAAGTTAGTACAATGTGCCTATATTAATCTTTTTGCCTGGAAATATTGTGCTAAGTGATGGAACCTAGTTGTTTATGGAACTTAGTGACATAATTGATTCTCATCATCTAGATGTTGGATTATATTAGGCTTATGAACATGGTGCTTCTGTCTTTGTACAAGATGCTGGTGATTGCATGCTTTATTGATCAAGCCAAAAGAATGAACCAATTTTTCCTAGAAAACCTTGACATCCATTGTTCCTGAAAATGTTTTTTCTAGAAGATTTCTGAGGCTCAGGAAAGTGCGGGATGATCCCTGGTTAATATTTTACCGAGAAGCTGACCTTTAATGTTCAGAACTTTGACAATGATTTTAGATCTATTTTATTTTGGTTTGTTCGGGTGTATGGTTACCACTTTTAAACTGTGGTTAATTTTCAATTAAGAGAATTTCTGCATAAACTCTAAGAGAACATACAAACTGGATGCTAGTGACAGACAATTGACAGTAGAATTCTTTCAACCACAATTTAAGATCGGTCAGCAATCTGCATCTTTTGATCAATACGACAGTTGATCACTGCAACAAATTGAGGGAGTCAAAATCTGTTGTATTCTTGCTATAGTGATAGCTAAAGCATTTTCTTAATAGGTGTTGTTGGATATTGAATTGAATCACTATTGGTAGATGTCTTTTTCTTCCATTCAGTGATTTTCAGGGTAGGAATCTTCAGCCCGTATGTGTTATCAAGGTATGTGGAACTTAACCATGGTTCATGAGTCACCTTAGAAGGTTTCAGGCTTCTGGGATGCTTGCCTTCATTTTTTTCAGTAGACCCTAGACTAGTGTTTTATTGGAAGGTGTATTTCTCAATTGGTAGGGTTCATTTTGGGCCTGTAAAATTCTTACCTATCTCTGCTAAATATGTTGTTATTTTGGATTTATTTTTTAGAAGGCATATTAGGTATTCAGATGAGATATTACCCATAGATTTTACCCTCATAAAAGGACTTTATGATATAATTGAAATTGTTCCATAGGCGCAAGCTCCTGTCTCTCTTGATATTGAGAGAAAATTTTGACTAAGGCTACTTAGTAGGCTCTACAATGTTTTCTTTAGCAGTAATAATTTGGATTGAGGAAAAAAAATATCGCTATTGGCCACAGTGGTTGATGGGTTTAATCCTTCAAATTCATGTTTTTCATTAAGATCATCTCATCCTTTCATGGGAACCTGTCACATGACAAAGCTATTCATCCAAAGCACCTAACTATCTTAACTCTTTGAAATTTCCTTAGGTTAATCATCTCGGGAAGTCTTTCGTGGTTAGTCCAGGTATTTCTCTTGAGTACCTTCTCTTGAACTCCCCTTGGAAACTCTTACTCATGCTCAAGCTTGCCCCAAGTGTTCATTCCCGACACATTAATTTTCATCCCAATCAATCTCAAAGCACTTAGCAACTAGAGTTGGGGATTCGACACCTATCCATGTGCATCCCATTTATGACACATGGCAAGGATTTGTTGCTTCCTAATGTTCTGTTGCACCACATTCAACTCTATCATTTAATCACCGTAAAAAAATATTGGCCTAAAACACATTTTTCATAGCACTCAACCAATCGTAGTAATGTGACTCATATTAATAGGCAAATTGCTACATTATCATGCGCAACTCCAATTTACCATGCATTTCAAGTAGTATTTATCCATCTCCTCTTTGCCTCGGCCTCATTCTCTTGCTTTGTTTACATCCAGTAATTAGTCTCCTCTCAACATATGACCCCTAGGCTTCCTCTCAAAGGCATGGAAAATTTTTTTTTCCCTAAGCACTTAAGACATTGTACTTATGTCATTTTACACAAAGGTGAGTGCACACAGATACAAGAGCCAAGAGCTTTTCCACTATAAACCTCATCATACTTTACGAAGCTTGATGCTACCATAGTGTTGTTCATGCTCTACGATGGCTTATGATAGTTACTAATCTTCACCACCTTCGTATTGCCACTTGTCATCCCCCCACTACAACAACCAACATAATTTACAAAACATTCATTCCTTATCACTTTGTCTCTGAGCAGCAACAACTATAAATATCCCAATTTCACATCTTTTGAAAGACGTTGCTTTGAAATTTAAAGGATTTTCTATGATTTTAGTTATTTGGACTCCTATCAAAATTCTCTTCTTTCTAGTATCATTGCACACTCAAGCTAGAATGAATTTAGATAGGCTCCTATTTTTGAACTATGATAACTAAGGTTTTAAAATCCAGACTGGACCGACAGGTTCAACCATGAACCAGCCAGTTGTCCGATCCGGTCCAGTTTAAAAACCGGCTTTGCAGAGAACCGACCTGAACCAACGGTTCAACCGGTAAACCGGCGAACCGGTCTAGGTTCGAAAGAACCGGCCGGTTTAAAATTATTTTTTAATTTTAAATAAAATATAAACAATATATTTTAATTTATAACATTTTTTTAAAATAAATTTTTTAATTAAATAATGAGATTTTTAATACCATAATATATGAATGTCATAAAATAAGTTTTGTTAGAAAAGAGGGAACTATATAAAGAGCTAAAAGGCAACCATCTCATACTCCTTCATGATGTGTGACTAAAAAAGTTACATTAATATTATATGAGCTTGAATGTGAGTTTGAGCTTTATTGGACCATTAATTTTGGTTAGTTGGACCATAATTTTGGCTGGTTGGGTGCAAAGTTTTTTAATTTGTATTATAAATTAATATATTATAAATTTGTTATAATGTATAGTATATAAATTAATAATATAAATTTATATATTATGTTAAATATTATTTTTATTACGCATTTAACGGTCATCCAAGGATGACCGGAACACCAAAAATTTGCTATCTACCGCGAGTCCAATCATGTTGGATTCAAAAGGTAGACTCTCATTCAAACAAATTTCTTCTTTTCGGATTTTGGAATCTCCTCTAATCATAAAAGAGGGAGGCTTAAATGCTGTGGAAAAACCTTTGCTGATTTCAGGCAAAGGGAAGGGAATAATTTTGGTTTTGAATGATAAGCCAAAACCTTTGTCGACTATCATTGCTGGAGCAAATGATAAGGAAGCATCTTCACCCGTAGGAAGTTTTGCTGAAATTTTGAAGAAGGACATGGTTAATTCAATTACTTCTTCAAAATTGGATATCCCTAATGTGTGGACTAAAAAACCTCACATAAAAATTAATTTCAGTGGAATACAAGATGATATTGGAGATGAAAATGTTGTCATTCTTGACAAGGAAAATGAAATCTCTAATGTTCAAACTTTGAACAATTCCTTGGTTGTTAAAATTCTTAGAAAAAATTATCCTTTTTCTAAGAGTTCTTTTGAATTAAGAAAGCAATGGTCGAAATTTGGCGGATTTCATATTACTTTGCTTGGTCTAGATTGGCTCCTTTGTTCATTTCAATCTCATGAAGCCATGGAGGAAGTTCTTAACGGAGGACCTTGGCTTGCAGGGGGTTTTGTGGTAGGCTTAGACAATTAGTCTCCTACCTTCTCTCCTTATTCTTTGAAAGGAATTTCTTCTCTAATTTGGGTTCGTCTTCCTCATTTGCCACTACACTGTTGGGATGAATTCAATATCTCTAGAATTGTTTCTAGAATTGGAACTCCTATTTTATTGGATGGTAACATGTTTAGATGGGGCAGAAGGGAATTTGCTAGAGCTTGCATTCGAGTAAAATTGGATTCTAAACTCCCATCTGGAATTTGGGTGGAAGGGATTCATGGTAGATTTTTTCAAAAGTTTGAGTATGAAAATCTATCTTCTTTCTGCTTCAATTGTGGAAAAATCAGTAATATTGATTCTGTGTGTCCTAATTCAACACATAATCAAAATCTTATTGTTAAAAAGGTCCCTTTCTATTCCCAATCTGAAATTGATAAGTTTGGGCCTTGGATGCATGTGAAGTTTAATAGCAAAAGAAGATTTATTCATGAGAAAAGGCTTCCCAAAGATGTCACAACCATGGATAAAACAAATGATGTTTTTGTTAACATCAATAATGCTGCCTTGAGTAATGTTGAAGGAGACGTGATTATTGATGCAGATTTTTCAGATGTTCAATTGACAGCTAAGGAAGTTGCTGAAAAGAAGGAAGAAGAAGAAAGGGCGGTTAGGCAAGGAGCTGATTCTACTTCTGTTCTTCCTATAATTGCTGAATTAATTCAAATTCAAACCCCTCAAATGGAGGAGAATATTCTAGGAGAACAAATTCAGGATTCTCAGATTTTGAATTATGAAGTTTGTTTGGCTGAACCCGTGGAAATGGAAGGCAATAATTTGAATTGCAACTGCAATTTGAATTCCAATTCTGAATTCAAAAGTCCTGGAATCGTGGAAGCAATTAAGGAAGGAGTTGATGATTCCGTTTCAACTCAAGTGGCTGATATCCAGGGAGCTAACGAACCTATTTTGGAATTCAAAAAGCAGCTTTTCAGGAGGTAAGTGCAACTACTACAACAAAGTTGGCGGCTGTGAATGCTGATCCAGTAATTAATTCAGATTTTGATCCTGAATTAAAAAAATTGTTTTAGCGAATTAAGAGATATCTCCCCACTATCGAATCTCTTTAAATTTAAAAAAAACTGCTCTTAAAAAAGATAATAGTCTTTTTAAGTAGAGCAAGTCTCCCGGTTCCAAGCATTCATTATTCAAAGAACTTCAAGCATTAGGATCGGTGAAAGCTATGTTGCACCGATACGGATACGGCGACACGGATACGACACGATACGAATACGAGACACGTCAATTCTTAAAAATACAGGATACCGGTACGGCGCAGACACGGCATCATAATTTATAAATCATACATAAAAATTAAGAAAGCAATCAAAGCATAATATTTGAAATTACAAAAAAAAAATGACAACAACATCATTTGTAGCATTGTAACTTGTAATATCAAAATATAAGTAAGCATTAAATGTCTAGTACAACAACAAAAGCATAAACATAAATTGTCTAGCACATAAAGTTTCAACTATTCAATAGAATGAATGATATGATTAGCTTCTTCCGTGGTTTGTCTTTGAACTTCTATATCATCTTCAATAAATATCATAGCTTTTAATTCAGGCTCATTAAGGAAAGATTAGTAATTTTTAATATTCTCATATCATTAAGAGACTCAAATCCATCTCGGAAATGAGAGAGCTTTGCTCACAGCCGCAGAAGTAAATACGACGTTTGTTTTTCAACGGACACGTGTATCGGATACGCGTGTCCTTTTGAAATTAAATAGTATTTTAATTGGATACGTCTTTGGCGTATCCGACACGTATCGGTGGAGTATCGGAGGCGTATCCGTGTATCGGTGTATTGGATACAACACGCTTTCATAAATAGGTGCATCGGTGCAACATAGGGTGAAAGATATTCCTAGAAGGAAGATGGCTGAAATCAAAATGAAGAACGGCATGAGTGGTTCTTCTTCTCTTTTATCTCATTAAAATGAAAGATGGTATTTCGGTTGTCATCAACATAGTGGAAGGAGACTTGAAGATGGAGCATATTAACAAAAAGTTTGGATTAATGATATCATTGAATGCCAACTTGGGAGATTGGAAAAAGCTTATGAAATATCTTTCAAAGATATTCTTAAGTGATTTTTTGAATTTTTTGTTTAAATGTACTTTCATTTTTAGCTTTTATTGCTTAGTTTTTTTTTTTCGAGTTTGTTGTTTTAAACTTTTTTTAAATGTTTATGGAATCATTACTAAGTCTTATTCTCTAACTGGATGGGAACTCTGGGATACTAATCAACTTTCGGGTTGTTTAATACTTTGGTATCTCCTGCATCTCAACAGTTTCAAAATAGGAAATAGTAGGTTTCATAACATTTATAATAAGTTTAAAGAAACAAATTTATGTCCAATAAGGTCCCTTTTTCTTGTTACAAAAGGAACCATTAGCTTCCTTTTCCTAGTTTGTATTAGGTTATTTTTTCTTTTATAATTAATGCAATCTGCATTTTCTCAACCGGTTCGACCCCGGTTTGACCGGTCAAACCGGTCGAACCTTGAACCTCTTCTTCTTACGGTTAGTTGTCCGGTCCGGTTTTCACAACTTTGATGATAATTATAAATACCTTAGTTCCATCTCTTTTGAAGGATCTTTTTTGAGACTTTTTTGGATTTTTTCTTCTTTTCATAGTTTTGTATTCCTCCAATCACTCTACTTCGTAGTGCACTATTTATGCAAGCTAGAAGGAATTTATCTTGGGCCCTGAAAGATTATTGCTTCATTATATTAAAGCTCTATCTCTTTCTCTCTCTCTCTTGCTCTTTATCTTTTTGTTTTTCTTCTCAGTAGTCTTGTAATCTATGAAAAAAGCATTTATAATTGCTATACTTTGTACTTCTTTACTAGAATCTTTTGTTTTAATGGATATTTTTCGGATGATTTTGATAGAATGGATGTAGGTTGCATGACCAAATCACTTTAAATTTTTGATATCTAGTTACTTGTGACTGCCTAGCTTTTGCTTCCTCGTAAAGTAACTTAAACTTGAACAATGTCTATCTATATCTCTCTCTTCTCTAAACAAGCAATCTTTCCTCTTAATTGAGAGTTTGCAATATATCACTGTTCACTATGGGGGAAATGATAACAAATTCAATCAAGATCCCATGTCTAACCGCTAGTTGAGGGGGCATGAGTCTTGTCTTTATTAGTATGAGATTTTTGAGCGTGGTCCTATGGATGTATTTAATATGATATCAAATATTTGTGAGCTTTGTTTAAACTTACAATTGACATCTTTAAAAAATTAGTGCTAAGGATGGATGTGTGATTGCTATATGTGCTAGATTTTTTACTGTTGACCTTAGATTTGAATGGACTTCCCTTCAATCATGACTTTGCTTATGTTATAATCATCATGTAGAAAATGTGTTCGAATAGATTTTTCTTGGAATTTTAGGGCATATTTATGATGATGATCCACTTCGGTTATGATTAGTGATGACCATACTCATTGTGAAGAAGAGAGCTGCATGTGTTTATCTTTATGTTAGAGCTTGTTTAGACATTAAACTCCTTAGTTATGATATTGAATGTAACTGCTCTAATTTTGAATAATATAATATTTTTTTTTCAAAAAGTTGCATGGAGCACTATGTTGCTATGCTTTCGGGCACACTAGCGCTGAGAAGCGCCAAAAAGTAACTCTTCGGTGCCACAACTTTCTGTTTTACAGTAACTTTGGAATCCCATAAAGTGCAACGACACTGCAAATTGAAATGAATATATATATATATATATATTCACTCCACTCAGCCACTCTCTTTTTCTTGTTTTTGGCTTGTTGGGTAAGGATGGAAAAGAGGAGAGGAGAAGGAAAAGTAGGAAAGAGGAAACTAGGTTTTTAGCCGTCAGTTCACTATGCTTTTATGAAAATTCTTTCGATCTTTCTAGGTGACTTCTTTTCTATTTTTTTTTTCGGCCATTTAATTTTCCCAAATTGATTTTTTATTCAATTTTTTTCTACAAAGTTATTGAATTTCTACTGCTTAACTTCTTGTATATCATATTATTGATTATTCTGGACATTTTGACCGGTTGGTTTCATAATTACGCTAGTTAAAATTTTTGTTTTTGTATTTTGTAAAAATTGCACATAATACAAATTTTGATATTTTTATCTGATTTTATTAATAATGCAAACATTGTGTATGAATATGAGTATGTGATTGGATAATAGCTA